TCACTGCCATGATCCAGCCTAGGTTGGAAAAGGGACGCTCGCCTTCGGTGCAATGCCAATTAGAGCCATAGCGATCTGCAAAGTAAAAAACAAAACAGATATGAGTATATCCAGGATTCTAAAAGACACAATAGGCGGACAGTAAGGGAATAATTCTCACCATGCTTAAACTTTTCTGCCCACTGCACAGGTGACCTCACAAATCCAACTTGGATCCCCACTGCGACAAGGGTGGCTACAACCGTCTCGTTGTAGAATCCGCCAAAGCCCCAAGCATACACTCTAATCGGGCTATTCAGGTTAGAACGACGCTCAGAGCATTTCTTCTTGGCAGTCTCCCGCATCTTACAATCTCTAGAAATAGCATAATAGAACTCGTCGTTACTTACCCCGTCCTCCAAATACTTCATGGCGACGATGTGCTGAAGCTCTGACCATTCCGGAAAAAAGCTCATGTAGCTTCCAGGGGCAACGGTTGTCAGCCAATAGATTGAGTCACTCGTAAATTTCTGGGAACAAATTACGGTAACAACGGTCGTTAGAATTGACAACACATAGAGAACAATAATGTTGTAACGACTGGGTTCACGGGCGAAAATCTTACACCAATCTGAAGCTCATCCGTGAGCTTTGTCGGAATCTTAATGACCCCGTTTACGACGTCGAGCTTGGTGACGTCCCATTGGAGCGCGGGGCCCTGAATGACGGTGCCAGCCGGGTTTGAGAGTTGAGACGGTGCAGACACGGATAGCGCCCGGTTTTCGAGCGAGTCAATGCGTTGACGCTGCTCTGCAACGACGCTTCGAAGGTGCTCCAGCTCGAGGTCCTTGCTGTCCGCCAAGTTCTGAAGTTCTTCCTCGCGTTGGCGGGAAATCTGCAGCGTGGTTGTAACATCCTCCAACTGAGCCTCCAAATGTATTCCCGCCTCAACTCGTGGATGAAGAGAACCTGATAACAGAAGCAGGAAATATGTGTCAGCGATTATAAGCATGTTAGGATTTTGGCGTTGAGAATTGTTGTAGTTGACAAGGTTTAAAATAATTTAAAGCATCCAGCTAGGCAACACGAAAACATATTAAAAAAAAATGCACTCACTGGTTCGTGGCCTCACTGGAACTGCAGCGTTGACGGGGGCAAATCGTGGCTGAACGGCTGTGTTAGAGGTGGCGATTGCCTCACCGTCCTCTACGAGTTCACCCGTTGCACCAGCAATTGTCTCACTCGGATTACTTGGTGGGGGGGGCTGTGTTTCAGCTGTGGCTGGTGGCATAGTTGGAGCTGGAGGTGGCTTGATAGCCTGGTGGTTCATCCATGCGAGAAAGTTTAGGTAGTTGTTGTCTGTGACCTGGGGGGCAGTGGAGGTGGTTGGTCGTTTGGAGGGTACTATTGGTGCAGGATCGAGGGTAGCATCACTTCTAGAGTCGCCATCTGTCGCACAAGTGCGTTTTGCGCCCAAAACGGTTGGCGCTTGCGACATTCTGGAAAAAAAGCCCTCTGACTGGTGGCCTGCTTGATGGCCGTGAATGGCCTTGAATGACTCTGGTCATATAGTCCTCCCTGGCTCAATGGGGCGGTTTCTACAATTCCATACAGTTTAGACTAAAAAGTCTCAGAATTTTAGGGTTCGAAACCGTAAGTTCCGTGGTACTGAGTACTAGCTACTCTCATCGAAAGAGATAATATTTTTCTGACGGCTGGAGTTGTTTGTTGACACTTGCCATTCCTGTGTGTATTGTACAGTTGTCGTTTCGGAATTTCTCAGAAGCGGGCAGTACATGAATCAATCACGAGCTGCCTGTACAGTATGCCACTGCCTCAATGCTTCACGTGAAAAGAACTTAGTGAGCACGGCAGGTGGCTGTTATCGTCGCTGCCTGCAGCAGTCACTTGCGTGCTGTATTTCGCGAGTCGTCGCCCATTTGGGCGGGAAAAAAATAATTCGCGTTTTTTCTAGTTAAGTGACAACCGTTATTAGCTGCAACGAATTCCCTGCACTGCGCGAGAAGTTTTGGGTCTTAGAACATTCGGAATCACAAAAGCAGCACTAAACGACATTGAAACATTGGGCAAAACTCTGCTCAATAGTCTCGAGCGCAGGACAATGCCAGCTGTAAATTGCCTGTTTCTCATTGGCTGCTATTACAGCATTTCTGTTCGAACAGCGCGACAGCGTGCCACGCTGAAATTAACGGGCGCGCTGTAATTCGTTGATTTGACTGGCGCAACAGTGCGCCTGTTTAAAATGCGACACTTCACACTGTACCCGATAGACACACCCAGTATTTGACATTTGGTACGTATTGTTTTTCATTCAGAAACAGGTATATCAGTCTGTGATTGTTTTTGTTTATTGTTGTTGTGCCTAGAATGCCAAAACGACAAATACAGATACACGAACTGACATAGCACGTCTGTCTTTATCATCCTGTGCTCCAACACTCTTCAACATGTATATTTATTATAAACAGAATCAAAAGCAGAATCTGTTTAATAGCCAGCTATCATCCCCTATGAACGGCTGCACTAGATGCATCGCTCTCTTGATGCTTGCTGTCTCTATTACCCGATAACGATCTTCGCTGGCCGCCCACTTCAGCTTCACACACTTCGTTACCGGGTCTAGGGCCCTAGTAGCCTCATAGTATTTTATGAATGCATAGTCTTTCTTGGTCCCATTCTCTACGATTCGAAAGAGAAGTAGTAACTTTGCATACCACTCTGAATCACCCTCCTCTTTCTCATTCCCTAGCACAGCTACATCTGAGAACCATGGCCTTCCATGGAAGGAAGGGAGCGCACGGATGCGATGAGGAAGGCGAGAGAACTCCGCATCTACGGCTGCAGGCATTGCTAGCTCGGTGTGAACCTGGATGTGAGTGATATCCTCGCCGCTACACTTTGGTGCAATGTTCAAGGCACCCCTGAGATATGGCAGCTCTTCCCGTAGAGCTGCGGCATAAGCCTTATCCCTTTTGCCATCTGAAGTTTGTGGTTGTGGCACTTCCGGGGCCTTTGGTACCACCAACTTCCAACTCGTGCGAGACAAGAAGCGCGTGCCTGTTCGTTGGGCCATGAGCATGGCCGTGTCATACCTTTTCCTCTTGCCCAAGAGTGGTGCAAGTGGCTGCAAGCGCAGGCGCTGGACCTCGGAGCTAACAATGCATCCGGGCAAGGAAATGCTCAACGGGCTGAGAAGATGCTCAACGGGCTTACACGTGCACAATGCAGATACCACTCAACATATGCTATCAATGCATCCATTTGTGGCTGCGTGACGAACGTGGTAACAAGGAAAGGGAGTACTTGCATCACACTACGATGCTCGTATGCTTGGTAATTGGCACCTTTAGAGAAGTATGTGCCGGCTGGTAGGCGCATGAACGCACTCCTAGTGATGCTACGTAGATACTTTAGCCTCCTATCCAGCAACTTCCTACGTGCATCGGTCATTTTGGTGTCACGTGTGTCGCCACCTTGACGAATGCATTCCACTATGTGCTCCAACAACCCCAAATCAGCTTGGTGCATGATGTCGGGCATGACACAAAGGTAAGGGTTGAGGAGGGGTTCAGATTCCCAACGCCATCCCCATAGGCAACACTCGATGGGATGCATTGACAAGTCATCATGTTGCGTTGCATCATACGCACCACTCTTTATCAATCGGTACAATGACCGATGGACATGGGGTGTCCTATCCACCATGCCACGCTTAAAATGAGCTAACTCATCCCGTTTAGTGAGGCAAATGGAGCATGGTCGAGCTGTGCTTCCCGACTTTGTGCACGTGACCTTGCACGATTCAGGATAGTCACACACATACGCATAAAGAGCAGGCCATGCGTTCAAGGTTTCACCATTGGACCCCTGGATTTTAATACCCGTGTGCGACGCACGCTTGAGTGGGGCTAGCACTTGGTTGAGCACATGTTGGAACACAACAAGCTTATCCAACGAGTCGTATTCTGCTGTAAATTCCGGGAGGAGAGCGAGAAGCACGTGCCCGTGCTTCTTCCACCTCTCTTCCCTTAGAATATTGGCCAGCGTCATGTATAAGGGGTGGCCTTTTGCCTTACCCCGCTGGTCCATGTGCGTCTCATCCGACGCTAGTATTAGAGCAGCGACAAAGCCATCCACCATCTCTTTGCGAATGTTCTCTTGCATTTTTAACCACCAATCTCCCGTTTCTGGATTGGTGTAAACATGCTTCACCCCGGGGTTGCGAGCTGTTGCCTCCTTGACAATCTTACCTTGAAGCTTCGGATGTGTGAGAAGCTCTTTCAGCGCTTGAAGGCCATCACAATAGTGATATTCAAGCCATGACTTTGTCCCAACACGCACTCTGGCCTTCTTCCAGCCCCTCGACGTGTCAGGAACCCTCGACTCAGCATACTTCTCAACATCACGAATGCTTTTCCATTGGGCAATGTCAGACAACCGTGTGCTTGCATGACAAAGGATTGCCAACAAGGTAGCAATCTGGCTTTGTGACAGATTCTCCATCAACAACCAGTGTGCAAGGGCATCCATGAAGTTGAATGGACGTTCCTCGACATCATCAGACCCGGGAATCCCGAGGCCTTCCGTCTCAGCAGGTGCTGCCCCCCCAGATGTACCCTCACCCCCCCCCCCCCCCCCCAACCTCATCCGGCATGTTTATAGCAACAGGTACATCACAAGGCATGCAATCCTCATCATCATCACTATCTGAGCTACTGCCACTGTCACTATCTACATCCGAAACAAAATCTGGTGGCACCATGCTATCCTGCAAAGTTTCAGCAGCATCACCCACAACAGGAGGGTCATCTAACTCCACGGGCGTAAGGTTGAATGATGGGATGTGCGCCGCTGGCGCTCGGTGTTGTCGCGGTAGAAGGTACGGATTGCTACCACTCGTAGATGCAACCGCAGGCAGTCTCACGGCCCTGCACGCCTGGCTTCGCTGGTGTGACGCAAGAGCCTGTGCCGTGTCAAAATATGCCTGTGCTGGGCATTTGCTACACGTGTATGCCATCTGCAAACAAGACAGTGAACCACGTGCGATGGATAATGGAACAGATGCAGAGAGGAAGAGGCAGTGAGAGGATAGGAGGGAGGGGGAGGAGGTGAGGGAGGCAGAGAGGAAGAGGCAGTGAGAGGAGAGGAGGGAGGGGGAGGAGGAGAGGGAGGGAGAGAGAGGGAGAGCCCGGGAGAGGAGAGGAGGGGGAAGGTGGGGCAGAGAGGAAGAGGGCGGAGAGGAAGAGAGTGGAGAGGAGGAGAGCGGAGGGGAGGGAGGACGAGGGGATAGGAGGGAGGAGGGGGTGAACGAGTGGGACAGAGAGGAAGAGCCCGGAAGAGGAGAGGACTCGGGGAGCGACGAGAGAGGGGGCAGTGTGAGGGAGGGAGAGAGGGGGCAGTGTGAGGGAGGGAGAGACGGAGAGAGAGAATGCTACGGTGGGAGAGCGAGGGAGGGACGGAGAGAGAGAATTGGACGGTGTGAGAGCGAGGGAGGGACAGAGAGAGAGAATTGGACGGTGTGAGAGCGAGGGAGGGACAGAGAGAGAGAACTCGACGGTGTGAGAGCGAGGGAGGGACAGAGAGAGAGAATTCGACGGTGGGAGAGCAAGGGAGGGACAGAGAGAGCGAATTCGTCGGTGAATGCGACGGTGGGAAAGCACGGAGAACGGACGGGAGCGACGGAGCGCGCAATTGCGAAGAGTAAGGCACGATTGCGAACGAGAGAGCACACGGTAGAGACGGAGAGGGCAAATCTGACCGAGCGAGAGCACCCTTAGCGAGCGAGAGAGTCGAAACGAACGAGAGAGTGAACGGCAGCGACGGAGAGAGTGAATTCAAAAGGGAGTGATCACGGGAGCGACGGAGAGATCTAATGCGACTGACGGAGAGCAAGGGAGCGAGAGAAATAGAGAGATACCGAGAACGAGAGCGGCCGGGATAGAGAACGGGAGCGAAGGAGATGGCGAATGCGACGGTGGGAGACCTTGGGAACGACAGAGGGAGAATGCGACGGTGAGAGAGCACGGGAGCGACGGCGAGAGAGAATGCAACGGTGGGAGAGCGGACGGGAGGGAAGGAGCGCGCGAATGAGGTACGGACAGCGCACGGGAGGGACGGAGATAACGAATGTAAGGGAGAGCGGACGGGAGGGACGGAGCGCGCGATTGCGGAAGGGAGAGCACACGGAATGGACGGAGAGAGCGAATGCGAAAGGTAGAGCGGACGGGAGGGACGGAGCGCGCGAATGCGGAAAGGTAGAGCGCACGGAGAGACGGAGAGACCGAATGCGAGAGGTAGAGCGGACGGGAGGGACGGAGCGCGCGAATGCGGAAAGGTAGAGCGCACGGAATGGACGGAGAGAGCGGATGCGAGAGGTAGAGCGGACGGGAGGGAGAGAATGCGACCGTGGGAACGCACGGGAGGGACGGAGAGAGAGAATGCGACCGTGGGAACGCACGGGAGGGACGGTGCGCGAGAATGCGACGGTGGCAGAGCAACGGACGGACGGAGCGTGTGAATGCGACCGTGGGAACGCACGGGAGCGACGGAGAGAGAGAATGCGATCGTGATAGAGCGGACGGGAGTGGCGTAGTGCGTGAAGGCGACCGGCGTATGCGGACGGGAGGGACGGAGCGCGTGAATGCGATAGGGAGGGCGGACGGGAGGGACGGAGCGCGGAAATACGAAACGGATAGCGAAAGAGGTTGACATATCGTAAGAATGCAAAACGGAGAGCGGACGGGAGGGACGGAGCGCGCAAACGCGTAAGAGAGAGAGATCACGGGATGGACAGAGCGCGCTAATGCGACCGGGGGTGAGCACGGTAGCGACTGAGATGGCGAATGCGAACGAGAGAGCAAACGGCTGAGACGGAGAGAGCGAATACGACCGAGCGAGAGCACCGTAAGCGAGCGAGAAAGATCACGGCAGCGACGGAGAGAGTAAATGCAAAAGGGAGGGATCACGGGAGAAACGGTACGCACAAATGCGACTGTGAGAGAACAGGGGCCTACACGGAGAGAGCGAACGCGAAAGGGAGAGAGCACGGGAGCGACGAAGCGCGCGCATGCGACCGGGGGAGTACACGGGAGAGTCTGAGGTGGCGATTGCGAACGGGGGAGCACACGGTAGAGACGGAGAGAGCGAATGCGCCGAGAGAGAGCACGGGTGCGCCGGAGAGGGAGATTGCGAAAGAGGAAGAGAGCAAGAGAGACGGATAGATCGAATGCGAACGAGAGAGAGCGCAACATAGACGGAGAGAGTGAATGCGAGGGAGAGGGAGAACGGGACCACGAGGGAGCGCGAATGCGACAGAGAGAGAATGGGACCGAGGGAGAGCGTGAATGCGAGGGGGAGATACAGACGGCGGGAGCTAGTGATCGCGAGCATGCGATAACAAGAAGACGGGAACGACAGCGCTCCCGAAAGCAATGGGTAGAGAGAGAACATGACCAGGGGCGCGCGCGATGATGTTAAGATGAGCTCACCTTATTTGAGCTAAGCAAGGTGTAAGCGCTTGAAAAACTACCGCCACCAACGTGTCCCCTTGAAACCCGGTTCGTACCCACCTCCCCGCGAGCAAGGCCGTAGAGCCACTATCAGAACAGCAGTGCTCATGCAAAAGCGTAGGTAATAAGCGGAACGGAATGCCAACTATCGGCAGCAGAAAGTCGAGAATGGCCAGCAAGAGATTCTGAAATGACGAGCGATCTAACGAGTGAGTGATGGATGTGGGACTCCTGAGAGAGAACCACAAACGGTCGGAATGCTTCGAGGGGCGAAAATTGCGAGAGGGAACGGTCGGAATGCTCCGAGGGGCGAAAATTGCGAGAGGGGTGTCTACCGGTAACAAACAACTCGCGAGTCGCAACGCATGCCTGAAATCTCTCGTCACCACGCGGCAAAAAGCCTGAATGAAAAAAGCAAAAACCGCTGGCATTGCAATTCGCGTAAGAAACAGACGGGCCGCGAATTGCTTCCTTCCCAACTCCCGCAATTTTCGGCGCGAATGAAAAAAACGGACATGTGTCCAACAACCAGCTATAGAGTGTCACGCCTGAATATATAAAGCAAACTCATTTATAATTAAGTGTTCTATATCTAAAAAGACATCATATTAGTCAACTGTACCCACAATTTAACATATATGAATTCTATACGAAATGAGAAAACATACCCGTCGAAACGATTGAGATAAATTGCATATATTCACTCCATAAAAATAATCCGACCTCATGTTGACAACCAGTGAGCTTGAAATACACACATTTACATTTTCAGGAAATCACTTCATACAGATTCGTTTCGAGATACACAGCAACACGCAACATGGAAAGTTGAAACGCGTCATAGCTAAATCGGAAAAACAACACAGGCCGCGCGTGCACCAAGCCAAGCCGTATATGACAACATTCCGTCAGCAAAGGTTTCGGGAACAGTAGCGACAATCCTCCCCACACATACTCAACCGTATAGAGCCACCAACTCAGCATTCACACCAACTTCCAACCACTAACACTCCCTTACGTCCGACCGCCAAACCTAAACCGTTCATCGTCATTGATGACGATGAGAACGGGCACGAACTTCACCCCCGACTGGATTCGACAATCCCACTTTTTTCCGATGTGGGTTCTTTTTCATCGCTGGCGATTTTTTACTCCCCACAGCAGCGCCCAAGACCCCAGCCAAAATGGCAACCATTTTGTTTCACGGGCTTGCCGAGGCCATTGCCAAAGCTCCCACCGCGTCCATTCGCCTTCTTTTACAGCACGGATGCACCGTACACGATCTGACTGCTTTTTCCCTCCCACCGGTCTGTTCGCCTACCATAACCGCCTGCTGCACAACCGTTCCTTTGCAAGGACCACGATGCCAGGAGAGCAATACTCCACACCCTACCTTCCCTATACCTCTCTTGCACTATATAGGCCCTGCGACTCTCTCACATCATCCCCACCTCTCCCTGCCATGGCTTCCCACTCAAAGTCTGACCTAGTCATGGACGACTCTAGCGCTCGCGAGACATTCGACGACGCTTTTCTCTTGGCTGATCTCCCTGCGATCCTCTCCGACAGCCCTCTTGCCCCCGTGGAAGAGGCTCCAAAAAGATGTGTGCGGCTGGCCCGTCCTCCATTGGCTCCAAAGCCATTCGGAGCATGCTTGTTACCCAGCGTAACAGAGCCGGTCGCAAGTGGCTTCGCGATGTCAAGCTTCTCCACAAAGTGCTGGACCCGTACGAGGAGGTGTACCACCCCCAGGTGGCTGGCCTCCCCGTGGCCGAGGATGATGACCCCGGGTTTGAGCAAATCCCGGCTGTTATTTGGCTTCCGGGCATCCAGGAACCGATGCTGCTCAACCTCTCGTGCCACTCATGCATGATATGCAGCAGCAACCACCGCTCTGCAGATCACTCGAGCTTTGCCATCATGCGCAAGTCTCGCATCAACAACCCTTTCCAGATTACCGTGGCCCAGCTCCAAGCTGTCAACGGTATTGTCCCTTTGCTTTCTCTGACCTTGCTAGACGGAACCCTTTACTGTTTGATTTCGCTTTAGCTGTCCCTGCTTCTTCTTCTCATGTTGTCACTCTCAAGTGATTCCTCATCTTCCCAGTCCCGGATCACCCCTTACCGGGCCCGATTACCCTCCTGCCCCCTACCACGGCTCGGGTCCTGCTGGCCTAAGGCTGTCGGAATTGTGCCCCATTTGTCTTTCCTTCCGTTTTTCTGCCCTTTTCGTCGACCTCTCAAGGTCATTTTCTGCCCCGTTTCTCACCTCCCCTGGTCCTTTGGGCTCATCACGCTTTTTCCCCTGCCATGGCCCCTTTCTCTGCATGCCTTCTTGGCACCCCACTTGCCCTTTTCAGTGTTCGTATCGTATAACCAGAATGTTCGCATCTATGCTTGGTATCCCTATCCAGCCTCACCGCTGCTAGCTTCTCGTTTGGTTCTACTCCCCATATATGCATGGCTGTTTTTCGCTCACCCTCACTTCAGGACAGCTCTGTTTCCTTTTCATCTGAGCTGGCCAGCCTATGGCTCCCTCTCCACTACTCCCCCCTGGCCTTGTGCGCCCCCCTCTCTCCTGGCCTGCACTCACACTCTTGGGGTTTTCCCCACGGGTATCATGTAGCAACCCTCTGCCCACCTTCCTTCCTTCCTCTTCATTAGGAAAAAATCTGGGACACGGCCCAGAGCCTACGGCTTTCAAGGCGGACCCCGGGATGTTTTTCATCAGTATCGACATCGAGGTCGAAGTGTGGACTTGTGCCGTTTGCGACTACACCTGCGGCTGGGCACTCGACTCTGCATTCCGCCACATGAGCGACCCCTCTCATGTGGCAAAGATCAACCAGCTGGTCTCCTCTCGTACTCCTCTTGAGGAATTAAGGGGCTCAAAGGTTCAATCTCTGCTAAAACAGAAGAACATCGCATCTTTCTTTGCGCAGGAATAGATGGGTTCTCATCTCATGTGTCCCCTCCTTTGCACCTATGGTCCAGCCTTCGCTATGCGGACTGGACATCTCTTATGATTCACCGCCATCTGTTCCCTCGTTTTACTTCGTGCAGACTCCCCCCGTGTCCTTGGCTGGCTGTTTTTCCGTTTTCTGCCCCGTGGATGGGTGTGTTCCTACACACTAGTGCTTAAATCCTCTCATATGTTATCACGTTTAACTCTGCTTTGCATGAATATCAACGGGCAGAACGCTAAAGAAAAAATGGATAGGTTGAGGGCCTGGCTCCATGTTTTGCCTGATATTTTGATTTTGATTGATACTCGCCTAACCAAGAACTTTAAACAACTATTACATAGGTTCAAACCATCAAGCTACGCTCAAACTCCTCCCCTCGTTTCTTCAAACAGAACATTGCCAGGCGGCACTGCTATTTTAGTTTTCAACCCTCGTACCGTGAGCTCCCGCCTAGAAGACCCGGGGGTCTTATCCTAAATGTGCTAAAACTGGCTTGTGGGGTTTTATGTGATGGCATGAAGTGGTTAAGACCCCTGGACATCTATAAGTCACACAGACTTCGAATTTAGGGTAGTGTACAGGGAATTCTGAAATTTTACACCTTCGAATTCAAGTTTGCCTGTAAGCGGGAAACTGCTGTTGCCACTTTCGTGCACCACGACCCATGCCACGCGTCACGCATTCACGCACGACGGCGGCAAATCCGGCCAGTGCAGGCGCCGCGCCACTCCTCTTGATTGGTGTCGTGGCCACACATCCATCACCTCATCAGATTCGGTGCATCTGGTGGGGTGATGGGTTCGAGAAGATTCCACCGTGCACTGCTGGATAGCATGCGCCACGGGGAACGTGAGCTCACCCCTTTCACGTCCCTCTCCTCCCCGGCTTCTGAGGGGGGTAGTCCGAGTCGATGAGGCTCATTTTCGTTTTTTTTCCTAGCTTCAAAACCTCCCCCCGTTTCTCTCAGCCATCATGCTCCCTGCCAGTAGCTTAGAGTGCTCCGTCCCCTACACGCGACGTCATGTCGGCCCTCGACATGCTCATGAGGATGCGGGCTGTTAGTGCAGCCCGCGGTCTTGCTGCCATGGTGAACGCACCCCCCGCTCCACCAGCCCCGCCGGCTCCTCCGGCACCGCCTTCTCCGCCTGCTCCTCCCGCACCTCCTGCTCCTCCTACGCCTCCCGTGCCCCCTTTCCCTTACCCCTTCAAACCTGTGGACGTCGAAGAGGAGGTTGTTGGGCAGCAGGAGCCTGACGCGACTTCAACCGATGACGAGGGGAGTGACGGTGCCGAAACGACCGGTGATAACCATCCCTTTCCTCTCCCCCAGTTCCCCAATGATGTGTTGCGCGATGTCGACCCTGCCGCTGTCACGCGTGATGCCGTAACCCCGAATACCCGCAACAGGATTAACCAACACAAGCGACATGCTCGCACCATGGCGGAGAAGACTGGTTGGCTTGTGAAGATGAAGGAGGACATCCTCACCGTGCGCGAAACTGCACGGCTGGCTGGCGTTCAACCGGTTAGCATCCGCCGCTGGATGAAGGCGGCTGATGAGATGGCAGCAGCGGCTGGCAGTCGTTTGCGGCTTGCTGGTGGCGGACGGCATGCCCGCTACCCTGACATGGAACTTTCCGTGTACAAACAGTTCCTCGCCCACAGGTCACGGGGACTGGCGGTCCCGATTAAGCTGCTGCAGACGTGGAGCCGGACTTCGATGAGGAACCGCCACCCTGAGGTCGACTGGCGCGCCTCTCCTCGATGGACCGCGCGATTTCGCAAGCGCTGGGGCCTCACCGTAAGGGTAAAAACCAAGATCGGGCAGCGTCTGACGAAAGGTGAGTTCAGTTGATACGATTTGATTCCTCACCGTAGTTGTTTTGTCACTGAATATCTAACTCCCACGGTTTGTTTCTGTTTCTTTGTTAAACTGCAGATTGCAAAGAGAAGTGCGAGAGTTTCTGGAAGTTTTGCAGGAGGCAACTGGTGCGCGATGGCATCGATCCGTGGAATGTCGTCAACGCCGACCAGACGCCGGTGTTCCTCGAGATGCCGCACGAGAGGACGTTGGCGCACCGTGGCGAGCGCGCGGTTCACATCCGGAGCGCCGGCTATGAGAAACAGCGTATGACCGTCATGCTGGCGGTCACAGGGACGGGGGTGAAGCTTCCGCCGATGGTCATATTCAAGCGGAAGACCGTCCCCAACATCAGGGTCCCGCCAGGTGAGTTGCTGCTTCTGTCTTTGCCCCCCCGCACCGTTTTAACGCTTTCCGTTTCGGTGGATGCACGTTACCTGTTTTGACGGTTTCCGCTTGCTGTGTGCAGGCATGCTGGTCCGAGCGCAAGAACGTGGCTGGATGGATGCCAGCCTCGTCCTGGATTGGGTGCAGAATGTTCTGGTACCTCACACGCGCCCGCGCCCAGGCATCAACCGCAGCAGGACGATGCTCGTCCTAGACTCGTACCGTGGGCATCTGACGGACTCGGTACAAAGGACGCTCCGCTGGCATCGCATCACGCCAGCGGTCATCCCTGGAGGCTGCACACCTCTTCTGCAGCCGCTGGACGTGAGCATTAACCGGTCGTTCAAGGCTGGTGTCCGACAAATGTACAACGACTGGTTTTGCCGAGTACGGCATCAACACCCTCACCCCCGCCGGTAAGCCCTTAACTCGTTGTATGCGCCCCTCTACCGCCACCTCCCTTTCAGCTATCTAACGCATTTGTCCCTTTTCCCGCTGCAGGTAACCTCAGGAAGCCGCCGGCGGAGTTGGTGCTCCTGTGGATTGCCACGTCATGGGCCGCCGTCCCTGAGGACCTCATCGTCCGCTCGTTCAAGACGTGCGGAATCACAAACACCCCCGATGGGCGCGAGGATCACTTGATCCTCGCGCACATGCGTGATGCCGCTCAGGTGGAGGTGCACGCGGCGGGGGAGGTTGAGGAGTGGATCAACCCCATGTATGCCACAGCCCAGGAGGAGGAGGAGGAGGAGGTGGATGAGGTGGATGAGGAGGCACCAGTGGAGGAGGAGGAAGCAATGGAGGAGGAGGACGGCGAGGACAGTGAGGAGGAGTAGCCCGCTGCAGCAGGAGGTCCTCTAGTGGTTGTAGATGCCCGCGGACGGGTGTTTGTTGGTAGTGCAGTAGCATCTAACAAGTAGCCTTTGTGTAGGAGTTAAACCTAACATGGCTGTGTAGACTTCTGGCTAAAAATAATGATAAAAAGCTATATAAAAACATGAATCGGGGAAGCAGGGGGGTCTTATAATGAATTGTGTCAAAAGGCGGGTCCTCACCAGGAATAACATAATAAAAGACCCCTGGTCCGGATAGAAGACCCACGGGGCATTTATGCGGGGGGGTCTTGTAACCTGGAGCTCACGGTATTTCCCTCATGGATCGTCACGCATCGTTTGACGGACGTCTCCTATCCATTTGTGCTTGTTTCCTCCACGAACAATTCCGTCGGGTCGCATTATATGCACCCTCCTATTATCTTGACCGCCGACGTTGATGGGACATTATTGCCTCACCCATCCTTACTGACCCCACCACATGCACAGATACTATACTTACCGAGGACTTCAACTCTGCTCCCTCCAGCCTGGATCGCAACCGTCCTCTTTATGCTCACGAAACGAGAGAACTACGATCTTTTAACTCACTAATGGAATCGTGTGGGCTTACTGATGCATTTCGCCAGCTCCATCCATACAACATAACCTTTTCATTTCACTCTGACATACACTCCTCTGCGCCTGGCTTCATCACCCCGGCCTCACGTTTAGACAGGATGTACATACCACGGACTTGGAACCCTCGTCTCTCATCTGCCGATTACCGGACCATTCCCAGACTCCTCTTCGACCACTTACGCGGTCCCTCCTGCACCATTACGTTCGAAGACCCAAACCGAGCTCCCAGGCCCTGGCGACTCCCTCTCTCGCTGCTTCACAAACCCTATGTTTCACGCTTGTTTTGTGATGCCGTTACCGAGCTTCCCCGCCCTCTCTCCCCTGCTGCGTAGGACCGATGGAAACACCAACTTCGCGGTCACCTTAAATTGTACTCCCGAGAGGAACGTATTCGCGTTTCCAAAACTATGTCCTTACTCCAGGATGAGATTTGCGCCCTGCAACTCCACATCGCTCGCCACCCATCCGACTCTCTTTCAACCACCGGTATGCTCCTGGCTCGACGTTCCACCCAATTCAACAAGGCACGCCTCAAAGTTGAAGGTGCTCGCAAAATGGGGGTTTTTTCTCTTCTTGCTGGCCTGAATCGCCGCATCAAGGACAGGCAAATACACTCGCTCACGTTACCCTCCGGAATTGTCTCTTCTGATCTCAAGACAATGGCGGATCACTGCACCTCCTTTTTTGCCCAACTATACAGTGGCAGATCATCCAACAACCCAAGCGACAATTTTTTGCCACACATCTATCCCACCTCGCTTCCCCCACCTAGTCTCTCCCGCCTTTCGGGGCCCATCTCTGTCACGGAAGTCGAACGTGCCTGCTCCTTGCTCGCTCGCGGGCGGTCCCCAGGTTCTGACGCTTTGCCAGGAGATCTCCTACGCGCTCACAAAAAAACGTTGGCTCCTGCTCTCCACAAACTAATACTCTATATCTCGCAACACAGTTCTCTCCCGACTTCCATGCTCCAGGGTCGCACAGTCCTCATCCCAAAAAAGGGAGACAGCTCGCTTGTCGAAAGTCTTCGACCTATAACCCTCATGAACTCTGACTACAAGGTACTGGCAACTTGCCTTGCCAACCGTCTCCAGCAGGTTTCGTGCCGGGTCATTCACCCTGCCCAATCCGCTTTCATCAAAGGTCGCCGCATCGAGGACACTATCAATGACACTTTGGACGTGATTGATTGGGCCACGTCCCGCAACCTACCACTTCTAGTGCTCACAGTCGACATCCGTAAAACATACGACCTTGTGGACCGTGATTTCATGTACAAGTGCCTCTCACACATCGGCCTCCCAGCCAACTTTGTACGATGGGTCCAACTCCTGCTCTCTCACACGCAAACACAAATCTCCGTGAACAACTTTGCTGGGCCTCTCTTTCAAGTACTCTCCGGTGTGCGCCAAGGATGCCCCTTGGCTCCTCTACTCTTCATATGCGTGATCGAAATTCTTCAACTCCATC